CCTCACTCGAGAGCGAGTGCGTCTCGAGTAGTCGCGCGACCTGGTGATGCCGCTCGCGCTTTGCGAGGGACAAGGGCGTGTCGCCGTTGCTGCCCTGCATCGTCAGGTCGGCGTGCAGCTCGATGAGCAGCTCGGTGATCGCGTAGTAGCCCATGCCCGCCGCAAAGTTGAGCGGCGGCGCCCCCCCCAAAGTCGTCATCCTCTCGTTCGGCGAGTGGCCGTCGGTGACAATCAGCCGGCGCACCTCGTCGATTTCACCATTGATGCACGCCCAGTGCAGCGGCCAGGCCTCCGGCCGACCATGAAAGAAGTCGTTCTTCGCGCGCGTACGCGCAAATTGGAGCTGGTCCTGCCGCGGGCCGAGCTTCCGCTTGGACTCGGCGCCACCCTTGGCCGCGTCGCCGACCTTGGAGAGGAGCTGCCCAAGCAGCGGCGCCTGCGACGCGAGGCTGATCAGCGGCACGGGCTGCCCCGTCGAGTCGGTCACGTGCACGGTGATGGCCTCGTGCAGCTCGCTCTTGGCGGCCAACGCGTCGGCCTGCTCCTTGGCAGACCACGCGGCCAGCAGGCGCGAGCCCACCGACGAGGGGGCCGCCGCACTGACAGTGAGATCATGCAGCCAGCAGCCGCGGCTGCTCCATGCCGCCCGCGCGGCGTCGGACGGCACCCACGGAGCGAGCGGCGGCAGCCCGTCGTCGCCGACGAGGCAGCCGCCCTGCTGCCAGCCGCGGCCAAACGTGGTGAGCCCCTCCTTGTTGACGAGCTTGCTCAGGCCCGCCGACGAGCTGCCGACGCGGAAGGGCTCCGCGATCCGCTCGAGCAGCGGCTGCACAACGCCGAGGAGCAGCTTACTAGCCGACTCGTCGCTCACCGCCGTCGCGCCCGGCAGCTGCATCCACACCACCACGCCCACACCGAGCGCGCTCACCGCCGTGCCCGCGCGCCACGCGCCGAAGCGCGTGCACACGATGACCACATGCGGCAGCCGCTCGCTCCCAAGGGCCGCGAGCGAGCTGATGAGGGCGTCGACCTGCGGTGGGTCGTCACCGAATTTGGTCTGCTCGAAGCCGACGCCGTTGGCGATCCAGAGGAGGCAGTGCAGCCGGCCGATCCGGCCGATGGCCTCGGGGGTGCGCAGCTCCGTCCCGTCGGAGATGGCGAGCGGGTACTTGTCGCGCGAGGTGAGCTCGCTCTGAGCGGTGGACGTGAGCAGAGTGGCCTTCAGATGCCGTATGAGCTCGGCGTGCTCGACCCGGTTGTCACCGAGAGCGACGGGCGGCCGCGGCAGCACTGTGTACACGTAGTAGTCGGTAATGGCGTCGCCGCGGCCGACGAGGCTCATGTCGACCGCCCTGAGGTCCTCGTGGGTGGGCAGCACGCAGCCGGAGACCTCGAACTCGTCGGGGAGGAAGGCGTGGCGCATGCCGAAGCACACGCGGTAGAAGATGAAGCAGACGGCGTCGCGGTCGCCCTTCTTGGTGAAGCCGACGGGGCGAGCCGCGTTCACGTCCATCATCGTCGAGTACTCCTCCACCGTCGTCGGCCAGCTGCGCGAGTCCTCGACCTCGCGCACGTCGGCGTCGCTCTCGTTGACGATGCGACCGTTGAGTCGCGCGATGGAGTACTCGGAGCAGCACTGCACGTGGAGCACCCGGCACGTGATTCGAGAGCGGAGACGCCGTGAGAGTCTCCGCGGTACGTGGAACAAGAGGGCGAGGGGTGCTGGCGGGCGGTCGCGGGCGGTGGCGGGCGGTGGCGAGCGGTGGCGGGCGGTGGCGAGCGGTCGCGGGCGGTGGCGAGCGGTGGCGGGCGGTGGCGGACCCATCCACGATCGCAGTAGGGCAGCTGACCGACGAGGCCCCACGCTGTCGGCCCGCAAGGGAAGGCGCTCGGCTGTGCGGGTTGCGGCAGGACGACGACCTCCATCTTCGAGTAGGCGTATATGCGCGACATCTCCCACAGCGCGAAGCCGAAGCGGCGCGACTGCTCGTCCGAGCGGCCGAGCAGCGGCAGCGTGTCCTCCAACCCGAGGTGCGACACGTAGTGGTCGTGCGCCTCACCCGCCCACGGCGCCGCCTGCGGCAGGCTGGCGTAGTCGAGGAACAGGCCGTCCTCGGCCGTGACGGCGCCGAGCCCGCGGAGGGCGGCGCCGAGGCGCGCGATCTTGTGTCCGCTCGGGCTGACGTGTAGCTGCGAGTCCCATGCGTGGCTCACGGAGAGCAGCCGCCCCTTTGGGAGCTCGCCCACGATGACCCCGTGCGGCTCGAGGTCCTGGTAGCGCGGGATGACGCCGCCGCGCGCCTCGAGCTCGAGGACGTACGTGGCGCGCAGCCACTTGATCTGCGCCTCCTCGCAGAGCACGCCGAAGCCGACGTCGTCCGTCGTCACCGGCTGCAGCGCGCGCACGACCGTCTCGAGCATCGTCGCGATCGAGTGGAACTCGGCGTGCGAGCTCGAGTTGAGCTGGAGCAGCGTCTTCGGCAGCTGGATGAGCCGCGTCGGCAGGTCGACGCCCGCGCCGAGCGCGACGGCGCCCGTGTTCAGCTGCCTCTGGCAGAAGGTCGAGAGCGCCAGGTACGCCATCGTGTCCAGCCGATCGAAGACGGACAGGTCGCAGCTGGTGGCGCTGTCGGGCAGCAAGATCAGCTGCACGCGGTAGTGCGTGAAGACACGGAACATGCCCGCTCGCGCCGCTCTCTCGCTGCCGGGGCGCACGCACAGCGGGTCCCAGAAGACGAGGTCGTCGTCCGCCGCGAGCAGCGCGCCGTGCGTCTCCTCGTTAAGGACGGCCACGAGAGCGCGCAGCTCCCGCCAGAGGTCGACGTCGGTCACGGGGGGGTCTTGGTCGCGGGTCTTGGAGGTGGCTCTGGCGCGTGGGGTGGCGGCGCTCAAGCGCGCCGATCCAAAGGAAGCGGAGAGCACCGCGTAGACGGCGACGCCCACAATCCCGGCGTCGGAGGGCAGCGTGCGGTGGAGGTCGCCCTCCTGGACCGCCGTGCGCGGGTCGACGCCTTCGACCTCCTGTGCGAGAAGCCGCCGCAGGAAGCCGACCGTCACGAGCGGTGCCGCCTGCGCGATAAAGTCATCAAAGCCCTTGCGGTCCCACCGCGGGTCGCCGATGCTACGCCTCGCTTGACGAGCGGCGGAGGTCGGCTGCAGCTCGTTCGGTCGCCTCTTTGCAGCTGCTTTCTGTTCTTCGGGAGGCGGCGGCGGACGCGGCGGCGGTGTGTGGGTGGGGGCGGTGGCGCGGTGGCGCGAAGGCGGCGGTGCGGGGAATGCGTCGGCCTTGCCGTCGCGCGAAGTGGTGGCACTCGGCGTGCTGACGTTGCTGAGCTGGTCCTTGAGCGACGGCTTCTCGTCCTGCTTAAGCGACTGGTTTTTCTCCTTGAGCGACTGGTTATTGAGCGACTGGATCTCCTCCTTGAGCAGCTTGTTCTCGTCCCTGAGCTTGCGCAGCTCCGTCTCGTTGGTCTTGGAGGCGGTGCAGCCCACTTGAGCATCTCCTGCACCGCCGGGGAGAGTGCGACCGTGAGTAGGCATCGGGAAGCGAACGGTGGCCGGGTCGCGCGCGAGGGATGGTGGTGGAATGGGAGGTGCGGCTGAGGCAGGCGGGAGCGGTGCGTGGGTGACAGAGCGCGTGGGACGGCGGTGGTGGCAGAGGCGGTGGTGGCGGGTGGCGGAGGCAGCGGCGCTGGAAAGGACCTGCAAAGTCGTCCTGAGGACCGTCCTCCTGCTCTGCTTGCGCGGCGGAGAGAGCGGCGGCTCTCTCTTCGAGGCTGGTCCCACGCAAGAGTTCGAGCGCGACGGCAGCGCACGGGTCCTTTGGCTGCTCGGCCAGCGCCTTGCCGACCGCCGTGCGAAGGCGCTGCTCGAGCTGGCCGCGCCAGCAGGACAGGTACTCCTCCGCGGAGGTGGCGGTAGCGGCGCTGTTCGGCATCATGTACTACTCCTTGGGCGTCGGCCTCCACAGAGGTGGCGTCAGCGATCTGCTCAACAGCGCTCAACAGCGGCTCTGCTCAACAGCGGCTCTGCTCAACCGCGGCTCAATTGACTGTCACGCTCGAGAAGAAATTCTTCACCGCATGCGTCCTGCGTCCCCTCTCAAAAGCTAGCGCAGGGAGGACTGATTCCGAATATCTTTGTGAGCCGTCGGTGTGCGTGCGCGCTCTCGCAGGCGGGTCGCTGTCGCCGCTCGCTACCTTGGCGGAGAATTCAACAAAGAGAACTGGACTCGTTGCAGCTGCGCAGCAGTCGGGAAGCCTCGGACACAGACACCTCGAGCAATTCGCTCAACCTGCTGAGCTCCGCACAGCGGTCGTCTACTGGCTCAATGTCGATGAGCTCCTCATCAGAGATCTCCTCATCCGAGGACTCCATCGCCAAGGAGCCCCGGAGCGTGCACAGCGCAATCCAAAAAGTAATAACACGAAGGATCGGCGGGCACGTCGCGCCGCATGGTGGCCGCGCTGCGCCGCTCGCCGCTGGCGCGCGGTTGATCGCGGCGCCGACTCCGCGGCGGCGCCATCTCACGCAGCGGGACGCGTCGCTTCGTCGGCGCCAAAGCAGACGCGAGCTCGCGGCGCGGCCGCGGCAGCAAAAACATCAACGTCTACTTCTCCTTCTCTTCTCGTCTCGTCTTGTCTCGTCTTGTCGCGGGCGCGCACGCGCGCGACGTGCGCCCGTGTCGCCGCGTTCGCTCCGCGAAGGACCTGTCCACCATTCTAGTCCCCTCGCCGCTCATGTAGCGCCCACATGAGTGTGCCGAGCCCAAATCACTGTGAGAGTCGTGATTTCTTGTTGGTCTTTAAAAATCTCTCTCTCATGAGTGTGTGTGTGTGTGTGTGTACTCACACTCACACGCGCCCACACACTCAGAAAGAAGAGTCTCTCTCTGTCTCTCTCCACACTCACACTCACACACGCTCTTCGTTAACCTCTTTTTCACTCTTTTCGGTTATTGAATTCTTTTGTTTCAATTGCGACAATAAATATTCTTTTTCATGTGTTTCATGAGTGCTTCGCTCATTGCCTCGCCAAGCGCTGCCTCGGTGCCTGGTGGTGGTGGCGCTGGGCATGCGGCGTTGGTGCCCGGTGCTGTGCACAGCGCTCTGCTCGCGCCCAGTGTATTGCCGAGCGCTGCGCCGGTGCCGAGAGCCCGCGTCATCATCCCGGCTGACGTTCGCATTCCCGTTCCCGCCGAGGCCGTTGCCGGCGGCCGCGTGTCCTTCCACTATGAGCAGCTCATCTACACCGCCGCGCTGCCGAGACTCGCCGCCGGTGGCTCCTGCCTGCTCCGCCTGACAGTTGCGCACTGGCGAGAGGCCAGCGCAGCAGCGGCCAGGCGCCGGCGCGAGGAGGCCGCCCGGCAGCGTGCGCAGGCGCAGGCGCAGCGCAAGGAGGCGCGCGTGCAGAGGGAGGTCCGAGCCGCGGTGGAGTCGCTCGTTTCGGCGGTCGAGGGCGACGAGAGGGAGGTGCGTGGCGTCGTGCAGGGCCTGGTGCTCTCTCTCGAGGTGCGGCCACAGCTGCTGAGCATCGGGCAGCCACACTGCTCATTGACAGTCAGCAGCTACTCGTGCGGCCACCACTGCTCATTGACAGTCAGCAGCTACTCGTGCGGCCACCACTGCTGATTGTCAGTCATCAGCTACTCGTGCAGCCACCACTGCTCAAGTCAATAGCTAATCGTGAGTCGTTGATCGCCGCTGTGGTGCTTTCGCTCAAGGCGGAGGAGCGGCGCCGGCGCGCTGCAGAGAGGCAGGAGGCGCAGCGGGCGCGCGAGGTTGGCGTGGTGGTGAGGAGGCTGGTGAGGACATGTCCGAGACACGTCCGTGACATGTCCGAGACATGTCCACAGGTTGGCGTGGTGGTGAGGAAGCTGGTGAGGGAGGTCGAGGCGGGCGGCGACGCGGTCGAGCGAGAGGTTGCGAGGACGCTCGATCGGGTGGTCGGGCGGGTGCTCCGGCTCTGCGACCCGCGCTACGCCGGCCTCGACTCTCCCGAGTACGCCCACGCGCAGCTGGTGGCGCTGTATAAAAAGAAATGTGACGGCCCGAGTTCTTTCTGAACAGGTATGCCCACGCGCAGCTGGAGGCGCTGGAGCGGTACCTGGTTGGGCTCGGCGCTGCGGCCGGCTTTGGTGGCCTAGAAACGGAATGCGTATTCTTGTCTTCCAACCAACGCTCGAGATGACACGGTTCCGCTGTATTTGACCGTCTTCAGCTGTATTCACTCTGTGTTTGTGTCCCTCGTTCTCACACAGCGCTCTGAACACACCGCACAACACCGTTCCCGCCCCGAGGTTGGTGTATTCAGCACGTAGGCTTGGTTGGCGGCTGGTCGATCCGCGTGGACGTGCGGCAGACGGGCGGCTCTGCGGGCGAGACAGACCTCTACTTCTTCGACGAGCGAGGGAAGAAGTTCCGCTCGCGCCTCGAGGTGGCGGCGCCACATTTGCCGGCCGTGTGAGGCTGTGTGAACGGCGTCTCTTCACACCTCGAGAGCTGTGAGCAGGTGGCGCGTCACTTTGGCCTCGCCGCCGAGAAGCGCAAGCGGCGGGGCTCTGCCGAAGGCGAGTGGGCAGCAGGCGAAGCGACCTTCGCGCCGTCCGGACATGTCCACGACGTGTCCATGACATGTCCGAGACCACGTCCGCAGGCGAAGCGGCTCTTTGGCCGTCGGCGGTTGCGGCGCCGGCAGCGTCGTGTGTGGTCTCGGCGGCTGCGTATGGGGCGTATGCGGCGGCGTGGACGGCGGCGGCGGCGACGGCGGCAGCGGCGGGGGGGGGGAGGGCGGCGGGGACGGCGGCGGCGGGGACGGCGGCGGCGGGGACAGCTCCGGCAGCAGGCGGCGGGACAACGAGCTCTCACAAGGCCGTGGCCGCCGCCATCTTTGGCGCCGCTCCGCACTCCGCCGCTTGGCCGCCGGCTGGGCTGCCTCCAGGGCCGCCGCTGCCTCCAGGGCCGCCGCTGGGGCCGCCGCGAGGGCCGTCATCGCCATCACAGCCGCTGCCGCTGCCGCCGCCCAAGCCGATGACGCTGTCGACGCTTCCGCCGCCCCAGCCGGCCCCTCCTCTCTCCCCGCCGGCCCCTCCTCTGATCGGTGGTGCGGCTGCCAGCGTCTTCCCCTTCCCGGCGGGGGTGCAGGGCGGCGGCGGCGAGGCGCTCGTGCGGCGGAAGAAGAAGAAGAGGCGGTGCGGCGAGTGCGCGGCGTGCGCGGCGCCAAACTGCGGCGCAGTCCGATAGATGGAGCTCTGAGTCGGGTCTTTGCATTCCACGAGCGCTCAAAGGAGACTTCGTCCTCCGCTGGATTCGTAGCCCTTGTGTACTCACGCGGTGCCACGGCACGGGACCGTGCTGATGCTGGCAAACCATCCCCCCCGCAGGCGCGTGTCGCTTCTGCCTCGACATGCCAAAGTTCGGAGGCGTCGGCAGTCTGCGCCAGCCTTGCCTGCAGCGCCGCTGCACGCCTCGCGTCACCACACACGCTCCCCCACTCCCCGGCCCGGCCGTACCGGCCTCTTTGCAAGCTGTGAGTGGCAGTGGCAGCGGTGGCGGCGACGGCGGCGACGGCGGCGGCGGCGCGTCTGCCGACACGGCGGCGGAGGTGGAGGTGGAGGCGGTTGCGGCGGCGGCGGCGGCGGCGGCGGCGGCGGCGGCGGCGGCCGAGGAGGAGGACGAGGCGCAGTACGACGGGGCTGGCGGTGGGGAGGGGGAGGGGGAGGGGGAGGGGGAGGAGGAGGGGGAGGAGGAGGGGGAGGCGGGAGAGGAGGGGGAGGAGTGGGGAGAGGAGGAGGCGGCGGGGGGAGTGCTGAGCTGGGTGCAGTGCGACGGGTGCCAGAAGTGGCGCCTCCTCCCCTTCGGCGCTGCTGCCCCCGGCGACCAGGAGCGACACACTCACACCACTCACACCGCTCACACACACGCGCACCGGGCCTTGCACCATGAATGCCGTGGGGCTCCTGTCGTCTAGACGCGGAGTCGCAAGGGGCTAGCCTGGCCCTGGCCCTTGCCCCGCCACCTTGTGTGTGTGGTGGAGACATTGACCCTACCTTACCCTACCTTTGCAGGAGCGCTGGCTGTGCCACATGAACCCCGACGCCACGCACGCGGCCTGCGGCGTCCCAGAGCAGGCGTGGGGCGGCGGCCGCGCGGTCCGCACGCCGATGCCCATTCGCGCCAGCGAGGCGAACGGCCAGGCCAGGCGCCGGCCTCGAAAGCGCAGGCGGCCGCAGGTCTCACCGCGCCGAGTGGCGGCGCCCCCGCCGCAGCTCGCTTCGCGGGCGGGCGTACCGCAGACGCTCGCCCGCCGCCCGCGGAAGCAGCGACCCCGACCCACGACACGGCCGCCGACGCCGCGCCCGGCGGCAAAGGTGGCGAGGGCGGCGCAGGCCGCCACGGCGGCGGCGGTGCCGACGCCACGCGCGCCGCTTGCCTCCACGGCCACCTCGGGCGCCAACCGCGTCGCCGGAGCTGGCGGGTTTGTGGCGGAGGACCACCCGGCCGCGGGATGCGACGAGGCCGTCGCCGCGCAGGCCGCGTCGCTGCTGCGCCGCCGCTTCCCCTCTTGCGTCGAGCTGATTGGCAAGCTGCTCGACTGTCGGCAGCCGCTGCCGCAGATCCAGTGCCACGCGGCAGGCGACCCCATAACTCCCCATATCTCCCCACATCTCCCCACTTCTCTCCACATCTCCAGTGCCACGCGGCAGGCCGACTGCTGCCCGCGCCGCCGCACCGGCTGCTCGTGGTGCGCGAGGGCGGGCGCGTCGTCGCGGCGGCGCTGCTGCTGCACGTGGCCCCGCGCCGGCGGCAGTCCGACGACACGCGCTTCTCGCAGACGACGCTGTTTGCGGTGGACGAGTCGGAGGAGCGCCGCCGCATCGGCCGCCTGCGTCGCCGCGCACAGCCAGCTCTGCTCTGCATGAGTAAGGAGGACTGATGAGTCCATTTGGTAGGCCACTCTCTCGTCGCGTATAGCAAGCTCTGCTGCGCCCGCGCGCAGTCGCGCCGCCTGCTCATCATGAGCTCCGGCAACCGCTTCTGGAGGAACCCGCGCTTTGGGCTCGGCGACATCTCTGCCGCCGACCCGATGGTCGGTCGGCGGTTTGATCCGTGGACGCAGCCTTGCGCCTACCTTGGCTTCGATCTCGGAGGCGCTGCCGGCAGCAGCACCGACGCCGACGCGTACCTCCGCCCGTGCCGTCGCTCTTTGTCAGAGGTCCGCGCGCGGACGGCAAAGCGCGCATGAACTGCATGTTGTTTGAATGTCGTTCCCCGGTGCTTGTGCGCGGGGCACCCTCTCTTCTCTCTCTACGTGAGCCGTGTACGTTCGGTGGTACGTTGTCTAGTGCGGCCTTTTTGTCACTGGCGCGGACAGCTGCAGAATTATTCAGGATTTACACATCGCCACAGATGAGCACAGCACACCGCCGCTGACACTTGCGGTTGCGCCGCCGCGCTGCACGACCACCCGCGTCGGCTCGCAGAAGGTCTGCACACGCACGTCTGATCTCTTTGCACGCCCGCTGGCACCCCCTCCCCACCGGCTCTCTCACGCCGAGAGGACGGTCACGTGCGCCTCGACGTCGACGCCCGCCTCCGCCAGCATCGCGCGCGCGGCGGTGTTGAACCCGCCCGGGCCCGACACGACCACGCGGCACGGCTGGGCCATCTGCGCCCACGCCTCCGCCACCAGCGGCGCGCTCAGCCGCGCGCGCACCACGCGCGCATTCGGGAGGCCCTGCAGCAAGCCCTCCGCCTCGGCGGCGTCCCCCGCAGGCGCGGTAGGGAAGGGCGCGGCCGCGGCGCCGCCGGCCGCCGCCGGCGTCAGCAGCAGCGTGCAGCTGCGGACGCCGCGGACGACGGCGTTGACGGCGACGCGCTCATTGCCCGCGCCGCCCTCCTCGCTCTCGCGGCACCAGCCGGCGAGCTGCGGCAGCAGGAGCGCGTCGTCCTCGCGGCACGAGAGGACCACGTCGACGGGCACGTGCAGCTGGTCGCGCCGTGGCGACGAGATCCCTAGAGATCGTCCGAGATCGTCCGAGATCGGCCGAGAGCCGTCTCGAGATGAGGGGAGATATGGGGCGTCTCTCTCCGCAACATCTAGGGGAGAGATGCCAAGCTGCGCCGTCGGAGCGCGGTGCGCGAGGATCTGCGGCAGCGCAACCGCGCCCGTGCCCGCGAGCAGCAGCAGCACGCTCGACGGCCGGAACGCGCGCCCCTCCGACACGAGCCCTGGGACTCGCAGCGTCCTCTCGGGCCGCGAGAGCCTAATCTCGCCAGACCTCGCGTGATCTCGGGCCGATCTCGGGGGTGCGGCGCGTCCTCTCAGGCCGCGAGAGCCAGACGCGCTGCGGCGACGCGGAGTGCAGCCACGAGGTGGCCGCCCCGTCCGCATAAACCTTGATGAGCATCTCGCAACGGCCCTGCTCCCACTCTTTCGCGCTGCTGACGGGCGTGTAGTCCCGCTCCACCCACGGCAGAGGCCCCTCCGCGTTCGGCCCAACCTCGGCGAGCAGCGTGGTGTGCCATGTGACCGGCTCGGCCATGCGTCCGCGGCCGCGCGGGTGGGGTGTGCCTCGCTTGAGGTCGGAGGAGGAGAAGGCGAAGAGCGCGGAGTGCCTCGTCACGGGCGTCACGCTCTCTAGCGACCATTGCGAGTAGTTTGCGATGGCCGACGGCATCGCCTGGCCCGCCCTGTCCGCACGCACGCCCTCCGGGAAGCCAGCCTTGCGGAGCAGCGTGGAGAGCTCAGAGCGGAGGGCCGGCTTGACAGCCGCCTGCTCCGCGAGGCCGTGGAGCGCAGTGTTCCACTTTGAGACCGAGATGGCGTGCTGCCTCGCCCGTGCCGCGCGCAGGCTCGCGAGCCGCTCCGAGGTGCCGGCGCCCTCGAGAGGAGGCCGCTTGCCGGTCGCTCGCTCGACGACCTTGGCGCTGGCGTCGAGGGTGCGAATGCGCGTGAAGACGTTGTTCGGGTCGAGGCGCCGCGCGCCGCGCTCCAGGATGATGGCGTTCGGCGCCTCGTTGCAATAGCCGAGGCATCCCGACTGCCGGACTTTGCAGCGTCCGCCGACCTCGCTGACAAGCTCCTCGATCTCTGCGAGCACCGCCTCGGCGCCGCGTGCCCGGCACGTACCAGCGTGGCACACGTGGATCTCCGCCATGGAAGGCGAGGGAGCAGCGACAGCGACCGAACGGCGACGAACTGCGTCTGAACTCGGCCGCCGACGTCCTGCCCAGCAAAAAGAATTCGCAACCGGGTCCGTCTCTACATACATACATACCACGACTGGCGCGCACTACTGGCACTAACACAGTACACCAAAAGAACTGCCCCGCTCCTCCGCGCGGCGCGATCAAACCTCACCAGAGACCGACTCGCGGCTTCGTGGCGTCGCCTTAAGTGGCAACGAGCGCATCCGCGTCGTCGCTAGACGGGGTAAGTCCGGCGGTGCCTGCCTTCTTCGTGTCCGATTCGACGGTCGCAGGGGCGTGTTCGTCGACCGTGCAGTCCTAGGGAACAACATGGGGTGTTGGAGGGGGAGGGGAGGGGCTGGAGGGGCAGGTATCCCCTCGCCTCTGCAGCCGCCTTCCTTTTCCGAAGCGTCTCGATCTCCTTGCGCAGCCCCTCGACGACGCTACGGGCCTCGGCGCTGATCTTCTCGTCGTCTCGAAGCAGCAGCTTCTCCTGCAGCTGTTGAATGCTGTTGTCTTCGGACCACAGCTTTCCACGCTCGTCGACGTAGCGAACGTCCGACGGGTTAAGGTCGCGGTCGCGGTCGCGGTCTTGGGGCGGCACACCGTCGGCTGCGTCGTCGAAGGTCTTGTACCGCGAACCGGGCTGGGCGAAAGTGCAGTCGAGTATCTCACGACAGATCCTTCCCAGCAGGACAGCCAACCAGGCGAGCCAGCTGCATGCGTCGCGGCTGGCGTTGGCAGCCGCTTTGAAGCTGCACAGCAGGAGAGCGCAGGCCTCCTTCAGCCGCTCGCGCAGCTCTGCCGGCGACAGGAGACGGAGCACTGTCGCCCCGCACACCGCTGGGAGACGGAGCAGGTTGAAGGGCGGCGGCGGCCACGCGTCGTCTTCAAAGAAGTAGCCCAGAGCAAGCTGCGCCTTGACAAAGCTGTTTTCGTTCTCGGCGTCGTCCCACACGACGTCGAATGTCTTGGCCATGATTGCGATGAGCATGTTGAGCAGCAGCACCACCGACAGCACCACGTAGACGCTCATGATGAAGGGCGCGGCGACGCGGAAGTCGTACACCGTGCCAGCCTCGAGCGTCTCGGCGACCGCGCCCGCACACTCGATGCTTGAGCCCGGGTCGAGCGAGATCAGCAGCAGTCGGTACAGCGCGACGGGCAGCGACTGCGATAGGTCCTCCAAGGGCCCGCACTCCTCGCCCCCGTCCAGCGCTGTGCTACGGAAGAGGGTGTACAGCGCAGCGGCAAAGGCGGCGGCGCACCCAGCCATAAGGACTAGAAACTGGAGCGTGTCCTTTATCATCTTCCGCAGCATCACGACCTGCGGCCCCATGCCCAAGACGCTAAAGACGCGCAGGAACCACGAGGTCCACATGAGGAGCAGCCCGAACGCAAGGGTCTGGTGGCCCCACGGGAGGGGGGGCATCAGCTTGGCGCTGATTGCAAGGCTGACCGAGACCAGCTCCACCTGCTTAATGAAGTCGCCGCTGGAGAAGAAGGCAGAGACCTCCTGCTCGAGCAGGTGTGCAAACAGCCAGCCGAGCAGCAACACCGAGGTCAGTCCTGACCACAAACCCTCCGTGACCTGCTCGAGGGCGGGCAGGACCCCCGACGCCCCCTGCGATACGAGAGTCGACACCCCTCCCCAGATGTCGTCGACGGCGATGGCGAGCGTCGGCGTCGGCACGAGGGTCATCCATAGCGCGAGCAGCGCCCAGCTGATTGACGACAGGACGAACCGGAAGACTGGAACATCCAGCAGGTAGAGCGAGTCGGTGTAGAGCTGCGCAGACGGGTTCCACTTGCGCTTGAAGTCCTCGCTGTGCGGCGTGCGGTGCGTGGATGCCAGTCTGAAACCGAGGTGAAGGCTCTGCAGCAGGACGGAGCGCAGGGGCGGCACGAGCGCCACGAATGGCAGCACCAGCAAGTTGAGCCCCACGGCCACAACAAGCAGCAGCGCGCGCGACAGCGGACGGCGAAGCTTTTGCTCGACGCCGTTGGGCGTGACGACGTAGCCAGAGACGACAGAGTGCGACAGCTCACCCATCCAGCGGCGCTCGATCGCGCTCTGCACAGTTGGGTCAGCCAGCAATGTCTTGCAAGGGACTCCGACGGCGCGGGCGAGGAAGTTTCGAGGCCGCCCCACCATCCCGGCCTGTCCACTCGTGCGCGGCACTGTCCTGGCGCGGCTTCCCTCGCTCTCGAGCAGGTGCATCTGCTGCAGGATCGACAGGCGGCTGAAAAGCAAGTTCCCATGGTTCTGTGCTCGCTCAGACGCCGCCGTGAGGTCGGCCGCCGCCGCAGGGCGAGTCCGTTTCTGCATCGCCGCCGCCGACGTCGCTCGGCTTGAAACCTCGGCGACATAGCAGAGCGCCTCGCCGGCCGACACGCGAAACAAGGCCGGCAGCAGCTCAATGGCTGAGTTGAGCTTCCCAAGCAGCTGCTCAGCCGAGAGCTCGTCGTCGCGGAGGGCGAGGTCGATGGCCGTCGCGCCGTTGGCGGTTTGGATTATCGGCGAGGCGCCCCGCCGGAGCAGCACGCGCACGACCTCACTGTGCCCATGCCTCGCCGCGACCTGCAGCGGCGTGAGCACGCTGCCGGGGGCAGGCACGTCCACCCGGTGCAGCATCGCCGGGGAGTCGCGGCCGCGGGGAGCGTCGCGGCCGCGGGGAGCGTCGCGGGGAGCGTCGTCGTGGCCGCGTGACGGCAGCCGGCGGGTGAGCTGGAACTCGACCAGCTCCTCGGGCAGCAGCCGCTCGTCGCGGATGAGCGAGTCGACGAGGGCAGCGTCTCCCATGGCGACGGCGTCGTGCAGCGCAAGCCAATTGCGATCGGCGGCATCTTGTGCCGCACAGCGCTGCCCGTCCACGCCCTTGCCGGTGTGGTCGGGCTTGCGTGCCACCTCGACAGGCGCCTCGACGCCGACGCCCCTCAGGTACGCCGTTTCTTTCTCATCGAGGACGGATGCGGCCTTGGCGAGGCGCATGGCCTCGTCGTCCGCCACCTTGAGGTAAAAGTAGACGGCCTCGCCCTGTCCGCTGGGCGAGGAGGAGTAAGCGAACGCGCCAAACTTGATTGGGTGCTCGCCGGCCTCCTCCCCCGGGTTGAGCCAGAGGAAGGACTTTGCGCCAACCCCGAGGAGGAAGGAGAGCGTGACGTCCCGCCATTGCTCCCGGTCCCGGTGGACCTCGCGAGCGGCCGTAATCATGCGGTACGGCCCCGTGAACTCGACCGTGTGATGGTTTGAGTAGAGGTCGTTCGTCGGAAGGCTGACGTAGGTCACGCGCAGCACCTCGGCCCGGCTGCCGTCACAGTCGGCGTACACAAAGCCGCCCGACACCAGTAGTCCCTCGAACGGATCGCACTCACGGTCGCGCTGTTCACCCACCGCCTCGAACTTGCTGGCGTCGAGGACGCCGTACACAAATGCCTGGTGCGTCGCATGCTGCGGGATGTTGAAGCGTGCGCGTAGCTCCCATCCGACCGTAATGGGCGCAAAGCGCGCGCATCGGCATCGCACCCACTGCTGGCTATTCCCACCGTTGGAGGATAACAGCGCGCGAACCCCGTCGCGCAGCTGGAGCGAGCTCAGCCGGAGGTCGATAGCGTAGACGCTGAAGATCTCGGCCTGCTAGAGGAACGGCGATAAGGAGAAAGTAGTGCGTTTCGCCGCTACTGCGCGTCCGTAGCTCCCTCTGGCTAGCCGTTGCTACGTCGTCGCCGCTACTATTCGCACCGTGTTGACGACGATGTTGCGGGACATCTCGCTCCCCGAGGACCTGCCAATGAGCCGCAGCGTCTCGGGGTCGCTCCCGAGCGCCGGCACGGGCCGAAAGACAAACTTCAAGGACAGGCCGCGCATCTGCCGCTCGATTTGTGGCACCTTGAGCATCTCGTCGGCGACGTGGTACACCCAGGCGCAGTGCGGCTGGTAGATTGGCACCTCAGGCGATATGTCCACCCACCTCACGCCCGGGCTTTGGATCTCGCCCTTCCCGAGGTCGTCCAGGTGGTAATGTCGCACAGCTGTCTCGATCCACGCGTCGTCGGTGTTGCGGGCGTCGTCGACGTAGCCACGAAAGACCGGCTTGCCGCCTTTGTCGAGATTGACGTTGTCGACGCCCTTCTCGTGAAGCCCACGCTCCATCGCGTCGATGTCGCGCTCCCAGCCTCCGCCCGGCAAACCCCTCAGCCTCGCGCCCGGGACGGCCCACTCCTTGCCGTCTTTATGCAGCACCGCGAGCAGCTGGAGCCTGCGCTTGTCCGACCCCGGCTGGAAGCGGGTGATGATGGGATCGACCGCGTAGTTCGCCCCTGCGACTGTGGACGCGTCCCAGCCACCCGTCAGCCCGGTGCGGCCTCCAGGATTGAGGCCTGCTGCGAGGACCTGCTCCTCTTTGAGGCCCTTTCCAGGATTGAGATTGAGGCCTGCGCGACGACCTGCTGCGAGCTCAAAGCCGGAGTTGGCTGGAGCATAGCCAGGAAAGGGCTGTGCCCATGGGACGTGCTCGTCGTCGACGTGCGACCGACTCACTGCCGCCAGTGGGAAACGCTCAGTCAAGTAATAGCGATCGCTCTCACGAGCCAGCCTGTGCGGTGCCGACGACTGCTGCTTCGGCAAGGGCTGAATGAAGCTGCTAGCGCGGTACATGCTGGCACGGCGAGTCCTGTCTGAGATCTCGTCGATCCCGTCGTCATCCTTGTCGGGCGTGGCTGTGCGTCTGGCCGTGATCCAGCTTCTCCTCGGCGGCGGAAACGCCGGCCTCATTTGTCAGAGCCGAGGTGCTTCGCAAAGAGTCAATCGTGAGCACAATCGAGTTGGGTCGGGCGCGGCTCACGATTGCGCTTGAGACGCGCCACAGGCCTTGGGTTTGATCCGCTCTCCTTTTCTTTTTATCGTATGCGTCCAGTAGTGTTCCCCGCCCTCGTTAGTGCCAGAGCGCGCCAATCCCGTGCTCTCCGCCAAGGTAGCGAGCGAGCGGCGACAGCGACCCGCCTGCGAGAGCGCGCACGCACACCGACGGCTCACCAAAGAGATTGGGAATCTGTCCTCCCTGCGCTAGCTTTTAGGGGACGCAGGACGGGTGTTTTGAAGAATTTCTTCTCGAGCGTGACTGCCTCATCCGAGCCGCGAGCAGGAGCCGCTGTTGAGCAGAGCCGCTGTTGAGCGCTGTTGAGCAGATCGCTGACGCCACCTCTGTGAAGGCCACCGACGCCCAAGGAGTAGTACGTGATGCCGAACAGCGCCGCTACCGCAACCTCCGCGGAGGAGTACCTGTCCTGCTGGCGCAGAACGCTCGAGCAACGCCTTCGCACGGCGGTCGGCAAGGCGCTGGCCGAGCAGCCAAAGGACCCGTGCGCTGCCGTCGCGCTCGAATTGTTGCGTGGGACCAGCCTCGAGGAGAGAGCGGCCGCTCTCTCCGCCGCGCAAGCAGAGCAGGAGGACGGTCCTCAGGACGACTTTGCAGGTTGTCCTTTCCGGCCCGCTGCCTCTGCCACCCGCCACCACCGCCTCTGGCACCGCTGCCGCCCCGCGCGCTCTGTCACCCACGCACCGCTCCCGCCTGCCTCAGCCGCACCTCCCATTCCACCACCATCCCTCGCGCGCGACCCGGCCACCGTTCGCATCCCGATGCCTACTCACAGTCGCACTCTCCCCGGCGGTGCAGGAGATGCTCAAGTGGGCTGCACCGCCTCCAAGAACAACGAGACGGAGCTGCGCAAGCTCAGGGACGAGAACAAGCTGCTCAAGGAGGAGATCCAGTCGCTCAATAACCAGTCGCTCAAGGAGAAAAACCAGTCGCTTAAGCAGGACGAGAAGCCGTCGCTCAAGGACCAGCTCAGCAACGTCAGCACGCCGAGTGCCACCACTTCGCGCGACGGCAAGGCCGACGCATTCCCCGCACCGCCGCCTTCGCGCCACCGCGCCACCGCCCCCACCCACACACCGCCGCCGCGTCCGCCGCCGCCTCCCTCTCCTCCGCCGCCGCCGCCCTATGCATATCCCTCTCTCCACCGCCGCCTCCCTCTCCTCCGCCGCCGTGTCTGCGTCTGCCTCCCTCTTTTCTTGCCGCCACGCCACCCTCTCCACCTCCGCCTTACCCCCTCCCTCTCTCCACTCCTCTCAGGTCGAGGCGGAGCACGCCGAGGAGTGGGGCGTCGCCGGCTGGGTGGACTCCCTCGCCCTCGCCAAGGTGGTGGCCGAGGCGCTAAAAGAGCCGCCCGGAACCACAGACCCGTTCAAGTACGTGCTCAGCCTCTCGCTCGCCGACCTCCAGGAGAAGCTCGAGGCGGTGAAGCTGAGTGAGGCGATCGCCGAGACCCTCTGGTCCGCCATTGAGAAGCTGCGCGACCAACGCGCAGCGACTGGGGCGGCGCTGAACGCCAAGTTCGCCGCGGAGGGCGACACGTTCGAGATGGGCTTCGGCGGCGTCGAGCAGTTCTACGGAGGCGTGCTGCACGCCAGTAGCTTGCCTATCCTACCCGCCCTCTCTCACCGGCCGCCCCCCGTCCCCTGACCGGTGAGCAGGCCTCGAGAAGATCATCGGGCCGCCGCTTATGGTGGAGGGCTCGCTCCTCAAGGCCATGGAGACGGAGCACTGCACACTGAAGGATGCGGACGAGCCGTTCGACACCTCAAACGGCATCGAGGGCGCGACCTCCAAGCTCGAGTGGGAGTTCGTCGTCGCGCCCGTGATCGAGGACCAGGACAGCCCCTACGCAGAGCGCGGCGGCGACTTCCGCACGGCTCACCGCGAGTGGTGCCGCAAGCCGGAGCCGCTCTTGGTCTACGAGAAGAAGATGGCGGACGAGATGAACCCGAGGCTCGTTGAGGCGGGGCAGGCGCCGCTCATCAAGGAGGAGCTCGTCGCCGGCCGGCTTTACACGGGGCCGATGTACGAGAAGTACAACGCCGTCCTTCGCTTCAACTCAGCGCGCGATCGCGACGGCGCTGTGCTGCTGGAGTACGCCTCGATGGAGGAGGTGCCCTTTCTGCAGAAGAAGTGCGGCTGGCTTCACCTCGGCGAGTGGGCTGCGACGGCGGCGGGCAAAGGCGAGCCGGCCGCGGTGCGCTGGACGTGGCACAACCAGTACTCGACCACCATCCACGCGATCAACTCAATCATCGTCAAGCTGTCGCCGCTGACCAGGATCACGCCGCTCTACCGCGGCTGGGCGGGCGCCACGCTCCCGGAAGCCTTCTTCAAGCCGGACGCGTTCGGCTTCCGCGGCGGCGTCGAGTACGGCTTCTCGTCGACCACCACCGACCGCGCGCAGGCGGTGCACTACGCGGAGGGCAAGGCGTCGACGGTGCTCGAGCTCGTGATGGGCATGATCGACCGCGGCGCCGACGTCTCGTGGCTCTCGCAGTACCCGCACGAGAAGGAGACGCTGCTGCCGCCGCTCATGGGCCTGCAGGTGCGCCAACCCTCCGACTCCCTCGCCCGCTCTTCTCCTCCATCGCCCCCCCCCCCCCCCGCTTCCTGACACCTGCAGGTGCGTTTGACGGGCGTGGAGGGCAGCACGCTCGTCGTCCAGTGCAGCTTCTCCATCAACATGGCCTCGCTCACGCTCGAGCAGGTGGCGGGCAAGCGTAAGAAGCTGCTCACCGACATGGGCGCGCAGATGGCGGCCGAGGTGCGCCGCGGGGTGGCGGGGGGGGCAGCAGAGGAGGCGGCGCAACTAGTGCGCGCCCACCTCGGCCTCGAGCGATGCGCGGACGCCGGAGGCGCGGCGGACAAGCGGCTCGAGGCGCCGCTCGGTGACGAGGCTGAGGCGTACAACTCTGACCCGCGCTTCCAAGCGGCGGTGGGCGACGCGCTCAAGGTGAAGCGCGCGGCGGTGCTCGCGGCGACGATGCAGCACGGCGGCGGCGGCGGGCTTGCCGCGGCGATGGATACGGTATTGCCGCTGCAGGCCAGCAGCGTCGATTTGACGGGGTTCCCCCTTGGAACCACCGGCTGGATCACGGCGAGCGAGGTTGAGGGCGAGTCCAAGGAGGTCGGGGCTAAGGTGGTCTACCAGGGGCGCGAGATGGTCGTGGGCGTGACCCGCGACTCCGAGGACGGGTGGGATTCCGAGGACGAGGAGGACGACGGCAACCTGAAGCTGGTCGATGACGAGATGGTGGGCACGGTGGTCGCGTGGATGAAGTCGGAGCCGTCGGCGCTGACGTCGCTGAAGCTTGACTGGGGCAAGGCGTGCGGCCGCGTGCGGGAGGCGGTGCTAGGCGTGGTGCGGACGACGCGCTCGCTCGTTGCGCTGAGCGTGGGCGAGGATGGGGCGATGCCGCTCAACCCGCTGCAGCTCAACGGGCGCGAGGCAGTGACGTCGCTCGACTTGTCGAGCAAGAAACTCGGACCCGGTTCGGCTGCCGTCGTTGCGGCGGGTCTCTCGGTCAATGGGGTTCTGACCAATTTGAACCTCTACGGGAACGAGATTGGCGACGAGGGCGCCACTGCGATCGCCGAGGCGCTGCGCGGCAATGAGGTGCTGACCACCCTTGTGCTATGCTATAACGACATCGGCCCCACCGGCGCCACCGCGATCGCCGAGGCTCTGCAGGGCAACGCGGTGATGACCAACCTTGTACTCATGGGCAACCACATCGGCGACGAGGGCGCCGCTGCGCTGGCCTCCGCTCTTCGTGTCAACGGGGTATTGACCTCCTTGGACGTGAGCTACAACTTCTTGACCCAGGAGGCGGCCCTCGGCATCGTGCGCGTCGAGCGGCAGCGCAACAAACTCACCTCGCTGGGCTTGAGTCGCTGCAGCATCGGCCTAACTGGCGCCGCAGAGATCGCCGAGTACGTGTCGGGCAGCGGGGTGCTGAAAAACATCGACCTCCGCTTAAACAGTTTGGGCGCCGAGGGGAAGGGAGTGATTCGAGATGCGGTGAGCGGGCGGGAAGGGTTCAGGCTCAAGATGGATTAGAGGTGCATGAAATCGGACAGTCTTGTACATTCTGGACACGTGTTTTCTTTTTTATTGAGAGAGGCTTGTATTTTAACAATTCTTTTTTTATTGTTTCAGCAGGGTACTCATGCCTCAGCAATCGCCGCTCAGCATCCTCCCCTTCGATTCTCGTTTTCTCACAAACAGCCTCAAGCTCAAACAAACGCATGTCAGAGAAGCCTGTGTATGCTGGTCCTCTTTGAACGATCCGCGCGTGAAGGTAGGAAGCATAGGACCTTGTTGGCAGCAGCCAGCTTGTTGCGCTGCTTCGTTGCGATGAGCTGATTGGGATCACAGAAGTGCATATCCATGCCAGAGCACCGCCACGATCTTGAAGCAGAACACATCGCAACCGCATCGTCCGCACTGCCATCAGCATGCCGCGCCCGCCGCTACGCCGCAGCCGCCTTACGGCACGCATAGCGGCAGCACATGGTACGGTGCGCGTACTTGAGCAGGAATTGCGCGCCGCAAGTAGCGCACTGGCCCTGGGAGAAGGCGATATGGCGTCGTGTGCGGCATACGTTGGTCGGGACGCGTCCAGGTATTTTTCGGGTAAACCTGGACTTTTGCAGGTATACCCGGGTTTTACCCGGAGTTGGCCTTATGTCGTCTAAGTTCATGGCCCCCGACCATACAGAGTAATGCCGGCATACAGGCAGCGTCTAAGTCTGAGCCCGGCTCCGTGCGGGGGCTAAGTTGAGCGCTCGCTCGCTGCAGAGGCTGAGTGTAGAGCAACCCTCTAGCCCTACTACCCAACCATTTCTGATCTCTGTCGGCGGTCAGTACGACCGATCAGGTCGGAGTTTTCTGATGGTTGGAGGGTCTATATCTGTGTGTACTCCTGTTCTCGATTCTCGCTCCTGTAACTATTGATATCGGAGCGACGTCCGATCCAGCAGTCGTCTGCGACATGGCAGTGGCCCCGGGTCATGTGCAGCTGGTCCCGAGCGGCTCAGGTCCCAGATCGAATCTCGGACCCACAGATTCTAGATTCCTTTAGATTCCCTGGATTCCCGCAACAGCGATCTCTTAGCGGCGGCAAACAGAGGCGCAACTCTGCCAGCAGCGAGGAGGCTCCTGCTGCTCAGCTACCGAGGCCTGGTGGCGTCGGCTGCTGCGTGGAGAAGACAGCAGCACTGTCCGACCTCAAAACATGCACAACAAGCGGGATTTGTGACTCTGTCTTCGATTCTTCAGTCGCTCTGCCGGACGCGCTCGCTTTGTCGCGAGGGTCACCGGTGCAAGCCGTGTGGACGCCCAGAATAGCCTCCCCAGGCTTAGCTAGAGTGAGAGATATTGTGCACATGATCAGCCTCTACAATATATACACTGACACTTTACCTCCCAGAGCTCGTCTCGGTCCGCCACGGCCATCCTCAGCCTCCGGAGGGCCCCCGGCCGCGGCGCGGTGCGGCGGCGTCACAAATCCGACGTCAGTTCACCGGGACGCGATCGGGCGATCTGAAGTCCAACTAGGCGCATGGATTGCCCGCCCAGGGCTATCACCTGGACCCCTCAATGGACGCCTGCGGTGCCGCCCCCACGAGGTGTTGTTCACACCTGTCCAACCACATTCGTCGTGCAGCAGGAACGCGCTGTGTGTGGCTGGCAGCAAACTCAAATGACGACGGGTTGCAGCCTCGTAGCTCAACGGCAACATTGTGCAAGAAGAAGGCTGATAGAAGTAGAACCAGCCACACAACCAACAGCTTCTGGAGAGTATGCGGAGCGCAAGCAGCCGGTGATCAAAGGCGTGTTGCTGTCGGTGGCAGAATGCCAGAGGGACGCCGGCGCTTCGGTGCGTGGCTTCGGGGTGGTCACAATTTTCCACCGCTCAACTTGGAGGCAGTGTGTCTAGTAGCGTGCTACAGCTATGACGGCGGACCTCACTGGGGCGCCGACGTGCGACGACCGTCTGGGATCGAAAGACGAAACCGCGTCCCAGGAGCTCGTGCAGAGCGCGCTCCGGAGCTCTGTGGCGGAAAATTTGAAGGGAATGTGGTGGCTTCCCATCGCCTCTGTATGTACCCAATAAAGTGCTAACACGGCCCTCGGGCAGCAGGGGGTATGTGGCGAGCGCACGGAGGCACATTTAGGCCGCCGTGATATCGCCCTTCCGGGCACCCCGTTTCGGTAGCCGTTTAGGGGTTATTGACAGCATCCCCTCTAACTATTGACAATATATTGACATATCGATCGCTGATTTTAACCTCCAAGCGCACCAAATGTCGACATTTGTCCCAAACATCGCCTAGATGTGGGCTGAAATCAAAAAAATCGCGAGTTCACAGCGATTTTAATGCGATTTAAGCGATTTTGAAGCGATTTGGGCCCGTTTTGAACGATTTATTAGAGCCATTTTTCAAGCCCGGGATGGACCGCCACCGCTGGATATATTGATATGTTGAGTGCAACCTGACGGTCCTGACCAGCCCAGGCCCAGCCTCTCCTCTAACTATTGCAATATATATTATATATTGATGTTGATCGCCTCTGTAACTATTGCAGCAATATATTCAATATTTATCGACTGCCTTAACTCCTGTCCTCGAGATCTCTCTAAATCTGCGCCCTCTGATCAACCGTGATCATTCGGGAAGTCGGTAGTATGAGCGAGTATGAGCGCCGCGGGGCCCCGTTTCCGCACTGCTGCGCGGCGCACGGTGCCTCCGGGGGCCCCCGCGCCCCCCCAGAGGCGCACACGGACACGCGAGTCGCTCGGGACCCGACCCGGGCCTGTGCGGCTCCGACGCGGTGTATACCTTAATAACCAACGAAAAAGTACTTAGAACGGGGGAGGGGGGGAAACACGCACACACGACTGCTGTCGGCGCACAACAGTGCGCTCCTCTACTCACATGCCGACGGAGGAACCCACGTACAAAGCATGCACATCAGCACACCGCGACGGACGATCAGAGAACGACACGGGACAAAACGGAATGCACGGAAGACACAGGACTGGTTGCGGTCACATAAATAGGTGATCCAGTGGACATGGGGCGCCGCCGGGGGGAGTAACCCCACGGCTAGCGCGACACAGGAGTCCCAGAAAGAGAGTTTGTGGTGAGCTGGTGGAGCGCAACACGGCATGGAGCCAGAGAGTCCGCGGGAGAGCGGCGATCGCGCGGCGGACGCGCGCGCACCCAAGCGGGGCGCGCGGCCGGCGAGCGCCCTCGGCGCAGCTCGAGTAGTCATCGCGCACATCACAAGATGGCAGCCGGCGGAAGGCGCGATGTCCCGCGGCGGCGACAGCGCCGGACCGACCCCCGGGCGCGAGAAGGGGGGAGCAAACACGAGGCGCGCGGGGGGGCGGCCGGCAGCTGGCCGCGCGCGGGGCTCGCAGCCTCAAGCGGAGGCCGGGAGGTACGGCAGTCCGACCACCTGCAGGAGGGGAGGGCGGGTTCGGGTACCATGGGGGCAGGGGAGGGTGGGTTCGGGTACCGTGGGGGTAGGGGAGGATGCGCGACCCCCTGCAAAGTCGAGTCCCCCACCGCCGACCAGTTCATGGTGTTTGCGGCGCGGAGCCCCGAGAGGGGCGAGTCGAAGCCGACGGGCCTGTGAGCAACCAGCCGCAGGGGCTCAGAAGACAGCCCGGCCGCCCTGGACACGGCTAGGCGGCAGGCGCAGGAAGGGAGGGAGGAAAGGAGGGGGGAGGGGGGGGGGGGGGGCGTCTCGGCTTCATCTCGGCTGCTCCTCCGCGATGGTGTATCTCGGCCATCCCTCGGCCGTATCTCGGCCGTATCTCGGCTACATCTCGCCCCGAGGACGATCCCGTCTCGAGCTCGCAGAAGGTGATGGTGCCGAAGCGCGAGAAGGCCGTCTGCAGGTCGGAGGGCGAGAAGTGCGGCGGGAGGTCCGAGACTAGCACCGCAGAGCCTGCTTCACACGCC